TGATTTGCATTTGGTGGAGATACATAAGAAAACAGGAATCAAAATAATGGAAGAAAATGCATCAACACATCTAGAATGTAGAGCGCTGCATTAGTTCTGGGTCTCTGATGGCGACTTGTGCAGGTCCTGGGTGATGTGTGGAGGAGCATAGTAGCCTCATTCATAACTCACGGCCCACACGCATACACATCTGCATTGTTTAGTCAGAGAAATCGCCCTGGCATCAGCTCAAGACTACAACCTCATGGTGCATTCAGTGGACTGGCAGGATTCTGTGTTCTTGAAGAAACTGCCTATATGTGTATTTTATCCTGCTACTACTCCGTCTTCTCTGTACTCGCAACTTTTAAAAAGGGCACACACCTCCAAATTGCATAGACTTGCTAACCGAATGAATGTGTTAGCTATCAGGCTATACTTCTAATGGAAAATGTGCTCGTCGGCCTCTTAAAGTGAAGGCCTGGCATCATGTTTAGGGATTAGAGGAGGATGGTGAAGGAGATTCATAGGATTTATAAAACAGTTCTACAACAGTAGCAACAAAATGCGTAAAACAAGCAACTTCAAGGATCAGTTGTTTGGTGATATTATCTCAAAGCACAAAAACACAAATTGTGGATTTTGTTCTATTGCCACTGGATTGTTCATCCCAGTGGTTTTATCACCTCAGTCGATTCCTTGTCAGTCGGTGGATTTGCACAGCCCTTCCACTGTGAGAAAGGTAGGACTGCCAGGAACACAGATCTGGAAAATCTTACCCATTTGGTAAGTATTAAGAGTGCAGAAGCACAATTATTACCTTGACTTTGGAGTTTTACAGGTTTGCCAAATTAAAAGGTCATGGAGGCTGTAGGCTGAGCTTAGACTGGAGTAATTGGGACCTTGAAGCATTAATGTTGTTTGCAATTAGCATTTTTTTTCTCCGTTTGGCTTCGGTTTTGTGTTGCCAGTGAAAAGAAAAACATGATTGTGGCAGTCTTTGGGTTTCGCTTGATCTGATCTTTTTCTCAGACTTCAACATTTTCTCCCATTTCCCTGCAAGTCAGTCAGTTTCTTTGATATCTTATCAGTGATTATTTTGGGATCGTTAAAAGATTTCTCCCTAATACAGACAGTTTCAAGGAGATAACCTTACCGTACGTCACACGGAGAACTGAAACACACTGAATCTTTCTTCCAATTGGACCAACTTCATAGTTCCCTTTTAAGTCCCTGGTTCTCATAATCCCCCATCACTCCTCAGTTTTAGAAAAAGAGTAAATAAAAAAAGGAAGAAAACATGGGGGAAAACGAGAAGAGACAATGACCGAGCTCCAAACTTTTTTATGTTTCTTTTTTTTACTCTGGGCGAAGAGTGAGAACTGATGGGGGAAGGGAGGGAGGGAGAGACAAAGGAGGCAGATGGGGTCTTTGTGAAGGAGTAAAGGAGAAGAATTTGCTCGACAATAGATGAATAGGTGAGGTAGAGGAGGAGAGGGGGACGAGAGCGGGGGGAGAACTCAACCACCTGCTGTCCTCCCCTTTCTCCTCTTTCACTCACAACGCTCAGATTAACTTCCCTTTCACTCCTCTCTCCTTCTCCTCCCCGCACAAACACTCACGTCTGCGCGTTGTCGTCGCACACCCTCGCTTCTCCGTCCCCCGTTTCTCCTGAGTGACCTCAGGTTGGAGAAATGTTCACCTCCTTCTCCGTCTCCTGCTCCACCTCCTGCATTTTCATCCTCCCTTTTACTCCGCCCACCTCCTTCACATGGAAGATGCTCCATCCTCAGTAATTGCCGCTGATGAACCGGTGATTGATTTGACTTCTTTTCACTTTGCTTACGTTGCGAGCGTCTACATCCCTGTTCGTCTGGAAGCCTCTTTTTAAGAACCGATGATATAAAACTTCAGCTATCTATGAGCTAATTCAGGCTTCAGAAGATGATGAACACCTGCTCAATGACGCAGAAAAAAAAAAAATCTGAAAAGCATTGCATGCATTTGCGTTTAGCTCTGTTGACTCTGATGCAACTAAATAAAATCTGGTGAAAACAAATTGCCTTTAGAAGTCCCCTTTGCAAATAGTGTCCATGTGTGTAATTCATCCTCAGTTTTAATATTACAACCATTCTGTGGAACATTCGGTTGCAAAGCTTGAATCTTAATTTGAGTTTTTCACAATTATGAGGAAAAAAAATATGTTTCCAGATGTGCAAAGCTGGAAGATTCATACCCAATAATTTAACAGCTGGAACTGGAAAGATTTGGTAATTCACATGGACTGAATACAAATGAACACCAATCCTTTCATAGTTGCATTTATGAACTATATCCCTTCCACTTTACTATTATATCCCTTTTGAAATATGTTGACATTTGCCATTCTAACGTCATAAAATGTGCAAAAACTGTGAATACTTTTGCATATTTATGCTATGTACTTTAATTTGTTTCCCATTTTATTCCTGCGTGGGGGCATATGTTTACTTATACACAGTAAAGTAAACAACCTGTTTTGTTTTGCTGTTTCATTCCAGGGCTACCATCCTTCCCTCCAGTCTGACTACCAGTCAATGGGTGGAGCAATGCTGAACAGTGGAGCAGTGATGTCTCCATCAGTGGACTACCACCAGCTGGGCCGTCACACACCGAACCACCACCCTTCCTTGGACTGGAGCACTGAATACCATGGCAACGGGTTGGTATCAACACTGCAGTTTAGCGTGGGTTAGCATCCCTTCATCCTCAGAGAGTCTCAAGTATGAAACTATGTCTAGCATATTAAAATGTACTCAGTTTTAATAGCATTAAAAGGCCTCTTTCTATCTTTTATATAGATTTGTGTAAGTTTAATTTTACCTCTTGTCACAGGCTCATTGGCATACTGCACATTTCAAACCTGAACTTTTACAATGTCCAAATTTCATTTAAAATATTTTCAACTATAATGCCAATAATACTTATTGAAGCTAATGAGGCAAAAGGGAAAATGGATGTACAACTGAAAAAAGGGAATCAAAGCAAACTTTAGTGGGCACCCACACCCCACCATCTAGCTACGCCCCTGCTTGGGCGAAATTTGACTGATTTCAAGAGTACGATCTGCAAAAAATGAGATTTTGGCTTGTTATATGTTGTTTGAGAATGGTTACAGTTTTCTTCTGACTCCTCAGAGACCTGTTGTGTTAATCTGTTTCTCATGTTTTTGAGGTAGCAGAACCCCACATGCTTCATTTGTTCAATGTTTACACTTCTCTTTGTCACATTTTCCTCTCATAGTGAAACCAACTTCTTTACTTCAGATAGGCAGAAAAAGTTTTTACCCTTCTGTCATTTTCACCGATGTTGACCTTTTATGGAGGCAATTGAAAGAAAGAAAGTTCTGAAAAGAAAGTTTTGTCAAAATTGTTTGATTAGTTTTTGTTTATTCATTTCTAAAGCTTATTTTCAAGTTTTAAAAAGACCAGCAAGCCCTTATCGGTAGAAAGATGACTCTTAGCTGATGATTGATCTCTTTGTTTTCCTCCAGAAGTCTTCAGAGAGACAAACCTTTGTATCTGAGCTAATCTCGGGACAAAAGGCACCAAATATGGACCCTTCTACTGCCACAACGGGAACTCCAGCCCTGAGTTGGGCCTGGATCTCACCTAACGCCCAATCAAATATCCAAACACAAATGGACTCGCAGTGTGAACTAAACCTTGAATTCAGCACTTAAGAGAAAAGCAAAACCCCAACCAGAAGAAAACCGAATGAGTTTGTATATATTACTACTATCTCTTTAAAGTATAGCAGTGTTTACAACGTGGCACAAGCATCTGTTGATGGCTGTATCACTCACTGCGTAATTGTTCCCATTTCTGCTGAAAACAAGAGCGAATGAAAAGAGGTGGGCAGATCCTGTGCAGTGAACCGTGCGGACTGGTGTACATACCCCAACATTTGAATATTTTCTGTCTTCGCAGAAGTTTTTCACACCCAGTTTCTTGTTTCTACTGAGGACGGTGATTATAATCAGCTCCAGGAGGTTCTGTAGTAAATCATGTGTAAATTGCTGTAAAATAATTGGTTAAATGGAAAAATTTAAAACCAGCCTTTGTTGTTTTTGTTTTTCTTTGAGCTGAAAGTCGCTGTGTTTTCTTTGCAGTCAAAGCCAAAAGAGCACAGCATTAAAAACGTGACGATATAAACCAAATATTACTCCAGTTGTGTTCCCCTCCTCCGACTCTTAGCTTAAATGATGACTGACCGAACTCCCACAGGTTTGGGTGACTGAAAAGGGAAGACATTGATTAAAACCCCAGTTTATGTTGCTTTATTAAAGATAAACGGAAGAACCCCTTAAAGATTTCTTTGCTTGTTTATCCAGGCTCTTAAATGTGAATAAATGTCAAAGATGAAATAACTTTTGTTGTCCTCTTGAAGAAATCTGAAATATTTTAGTCCCTGAAATGATAAAATGTTAAACATTTCCTGTTGATAAAAGAAGTACTCCTTTGTACGAAGCCAGCTTCTCCTCCTGGCATATGTCTGTTGATAATACGGATTTGGATCCAAGCAAGTGTGAGTGTGTGAGGTGTTAAAAAGACCGCGCAGTGGCTGACTGGTTTGCATGGTCTCTTTTATCATCTCTATTTCTCTGTGCTCAGAGACTATTTAAAAAAAAAAAAAAACTGTAACTATTGCCGGGTTGGCTGTGTTTTCATGTTCTATTTTTTTTTTTTTTTTTTTATCAAACTGAGGTTTGTTTTTGTGTTGAGGATAATGGAAATAGGCATCTCTCTGTTGCTCTGTATCTCTTTGTATTCATGCGTTTTATTTTGGCGGATGAAAGGACTCTGGGCATCAACCATGAAGATTTTCTTATTTTTAGATTCTAATAATGTGTTTGAGAATAAAGTCGATGCTGCACTGATGTGCAGTCATTACTTCAAAACATTGTTTCATGTTGTTTATCGCTGAACCGTTGGCAATACCTTCATCCAACTGCAGCTGGGTATTTGTGCATAACCTTACTGCGCCTGTACACCGAGAGCTTTGTGACTCAAAAAAAATTCCTTTAATGTAGAGACAGGTTATAAAACAATGATTTATTGAACTGGATACAGCAATAACAATGATAAAACTACTCTTAAATATTCAAGAAGGCGGACAATACATGTAGAGAGAGAGTACTGAAAACATAAAGACATAAACACAACTAATAAAACGTGAATCATCAACATACAATTGTAACCTCTTCTTTCATGCAAAGGTTGCCGATTGTCGACATTTTGAAGAAACAAGTGATGAGAAACAGCTGGAGCTGCTTTTGGACGTGCCCCATCCCTGCAGGTAGATCACACAACAGCTGCAGCTCTGGACGAGTCGCACCAGCCAACCATCCGTAACCGTTTCCGTCTTATCCCTTCCACTCAAAGGCCAACATTTCCTGCGTTTTAGCACATGCCCTTTAGGATCTCAAACCTTCTCTACAAGTGCCAGTAAGGCGAAAATATTAACCACACAGGTTTGGTTTCTCTTCCCCCACCAAAACCAATTGGATATTTTTGGACAGTTTATCAATATCAACTGCACTTCCTCCATTCACTGTTGTTTACTCAGATCTTTACACACCTGAATTTAGAAAGGAAGCAACGATCTGAGCTGCTAGCGGATTTTTCTCTCTAGAGCTGTAGGCGGCCGGTTTGATGTTTTTTCTGGAAGAACCAGCCTCAGCTTCCTCCTCGGTGAGGAGCCTCCTTCTTCTGACAGGTACTCCTGCTGCAAGAGAGCCGCCCCTCCAGCAGCTGTGGAGGATTCACCTGGTATGGACAGACTCGGAGCTGATTGATCCATTACAGACATACTGTCTGCCTTCAGACTTTCTCCTGATCCTCCTGCCTGAGGTCCTTCAGTTTGAGCCACACCCTCAGGTGGCATATTGACAGACATTTTCTCCACTCTAGTTTCTGAGGTATCCCCTGAAGTCTCATCTTGATCCTGTTTGGGGAGGTCGTCTTGAGTGGAGGGGGCTTGTGACTCAGTGGTCGATTGAATCGGTCCCTTTCCGGTCTGAATGTCTTGACTGTGAGTTGGATCAAGCTTCGGTGCTGCTACAAATGCAGAACTGTCAACCTGCATCTGGCTGTAACCCAAAGCAGCTGGATTATTAGCTGGGTTTGCTAAACTCAGGACAGGACCATCAGATGTTGAGGTAAGAAATGGAGCCGGGGGGTTTCCACCTGCTTGTAAAGGATTGGCTTGTATCATCTTGGCTAGAAGAGCAGGATTTGAGGACCTGGTCGACACTGCAGGTTGTCTGGCGAAGCTTTCTGGGGCACCACCTGGAGCTATGCTAAGCCCACTGAGTGTTACGCCGGGAGCAGTGGGATTAACCAGGCCACCGGTGAGCAGTGGATTGGATCCTGAGGACATGGTGTTAAGCAAAGCCTTCCCTGCTTGAAGAGAAAGGGAGCTTCCAGTTAGCTGTGAGCCAGTTGAGTTTAGCAAGGAAAGGTTGGTAGTACGATTCCTGTCAGCTGGACTGAAGGAGAAGGGATGCTGGAAAGCCAGCTGAGCCCCACTCAATGCCAGCCCATCACTCTGGTACTGCAGAGTCTGATGGTTTTGTGCAGAGACAGTGGTGCCGTCAGGCGGTTGGGAGAAGTTTTGGTTCTTTTCCTGGTCACCTTCTGCACTTTTATCTCTTTTAGATGTGCTGCTTTTTTGCTCTCCTTTGTCTGCCTTCTCCATTTTGGAGGACTTTCTCTTCTTCTCTCTGCTACTCTTAGCTCTCTTACCAGATTTCTTTTCTCCTTCCTCCCCTTCACCTTTTCCATGCCGTCTTTTCTCTTTACTCCTCTTGGAACTTGTGCTCTTGGTGTGGCCGTGCTCATTTTTCTTCTTCGGATGGACTTTGCTTTTTCTCAAGGGATTTAAGTTCAATTTGACCTTCATCAAATGGCTGGACTGGACTTTGTGTCTCCTTTCGCTGTTTTTCTCGTTGCCTCTGGAATTTGCCTCCTCCTCCTCCAGACTTTCCTTGTCTCGATTAGTTCTTGAACTTGTCAGATCAAACTTTACGTTTTTTGTCTCTCTTTTTAGTCCTATGTTCATCTGTCTAAACGGCTCCCTCCTTTCCTTGCCATTGAAATCATAGATGTCCATTTGGTTGGAGTGAGGCATCCTGTGTGTCATATTCTCCTCTGGAGGTCTGGAGGTCCGGTGGCAGTTCCTGCAGTGTGAAGCCTCATAACGTCTGCTCTTCGATTCATCATCAGTCCTGTGGTTCCCCATGTCACCGTCAGCCTTGTAGGGTGGAAGATTGTCTGGCGTTTCTCTCAGCAGATGAAAAGGTGAGTCGGCAATGTGGGGAGGAACCTTGTTAGAGACATTCCAGGTGTAATCTTGTTGTTGAATAATTCCTCTCCTTCTCTCCTCTTCCACCATCATTCTTAATTTCCTTCTCTCCTGGACATCTTCAGCCTCAGGTCCTCCGTTTACCCACTTACCCTTTCTCATTTGGTTCGGCATTTTCCCATTAGTGTTGCAATGAGGGCAATGGACGTTGCTGCCATTTTCTTCAGCTCTGGACTTAAATGTATCTCTGTGGTGATCCATCCTTTCATTCAGCATCATGGACTCCTTGCTCCATTGTTGACTGCTGTTGGCTTGCAAGAAAAAATCCCTCATCCTCTCCTGATCTCTGAGTTGATTTACATGGTTAGCAGTTGTTCTGCCTTTGTCCTCTTCCTCCTTCGGTCTTTGGCTTTCTTTCTTCTTCTTCTTCCGTTGAGAGACGTGGTAACAAATCAGGACTGCAAGCAGGGTCAAAGCGACTCCACCTGCAGAGAAACACAACAGGAAACAATGAAAGTTTACAGCCACAATTTACCACAGTCTGAGAACCAATGGGGGAACCAGCTGAACCTATTAATATTCTGACCTAGGAAGCAGATGACTGCAGCTATGGCCAGGTCTCGGGCGTACTGCTGAGGCGCCACGCTGCCTCTCGCCTCAATCTGCACTGTGATGTTCTGATTGGACGGCACGCAGTTGGCCTCGGTCAGCTCCAGCACCGTGGTCACAGCCGGGTTGTCTGCACTCACACACATCATCCGACGGCCGTTATACAGCGCCTGAGGACGACGGGAAGTACAGATGCTGGTTTTCAAGAAGCCTGTGGTCTGTCTTTGCTGTTGCAGGTAATGAGTTCACATGGTGACATCGCACAAGCGCACCTTGTCCGGCTCCTGAACGAAGCTCGTCAGGACAGCAGCCAGCTCCAGCAGCTCGCATGTGCAGTTCCATGAATTTAGGTCCAGGTTGAGGTTCGACAGCCACACAAGATAGGAGAAAGCCTCAGGAGGAGCTGAACGCAGACGGTTTCTGGAGAGATCCAGGCTCCTCAAGCTAACCAGGCCTCTGAAGCTGAAAGCACAACATGTCGGACATATGAGATGATATAGCCTTGGTTCAATTTTAATACAATAAAAATCACATTACCTGTTTCTGTCTAGAAAATCTATCAAATTATCCGAAAGATCCAGAGTCTCCAGACTCCTGAAGTCGTTCAGAGGAAAGGATCCAGGGTTCAGCCTGGTGACCAGGTTTCCCTCCAGCTTCAGGCTGAGCAGAGCCTTTGTGCCTGCAAACCAGCCAGCCTGGATCTGCACACCAGCAAGAGGAGCACATTACTGCTTTGATGATTTAGCTCTGCAATGTGTCATTATAGCCAACGAGAAGGCGGCCTTCGCTTCCAGTCGCCATGAAACAACATAGTTGATTTGCCTCGTGAAGACACGCACCATGTCGATGTGATTGTGGCCCAGGGCAAGAACTTCCAGCTGGCTGAGATTGATCAGCGCTCCACCCTGCAGAGCCTGGCTGGTCAGGAGGTTGTGGTCCAACAGCAAAGTGTGGAGGAGAGGCAGATTTCTGAAGGCGTTTTCACTAAGCTCCGAGATGTGGTTGCTACTCAGACCTGTGGATGTGAAGGTTTACGCATCTGGCATTACTGATGTACACAAATATAATGTGTAGCATTCAGCTGCATGAGCTGCATAAGTATTGAGTGTCACAGATCAACACTAAATAGAGAAAGTAGTCATTTCTATACTTCTTTGTAATATAAATGAAATTCAGTCAGGCTTGATGAGCACAGATTCTCAGTTAGAGTAAGATCTGGATTTTGATTGAATCACTCCAATGTAAGAATAGATTTTGGTTGTATGCTAAGTGCCAGCTTCCTGCTGGACACAAGAACATCTTCCAAGTTTCAAGTCCTCTGGCTCTTCTCTTCTCCCCAAAGCGTAATTCTGCCAGATCTGTGAGTCAGCATGGGAAATGGTGCACAGGTTAAAGTCATAACTTACGTTTTGCTGGTGGGACTTTTCATCGCTATTGTCAACATATTTCTATCTGAATTTTTTTTTTTCCAGTGAAACGACAACAATAAGCCTCCACATTTTTCTGTTGTTTATTAATGAAGAAAATCTCAAACCAGGTATGATTTCTCCCTTCACTTCATAATTATGCACTACTTGGCTTCTGTAAAACCCCTCCACGTTGAAGTTTGTGATTGCAGTGAGACAAAATGTAAAAGAAACATGCTCCAAGAGTATGACTGTTTTTGCAAGCTGATGTCTGTGCATCCAACCCATCCGCGTTTTGTACTGACCTATAACTGTGATGTTCCTGAGGTCAGACAGCGAGGCCGGCTGGACCGCAGAGATGGAGCCCTCAGTTAGCAGCAGAGCCTGGGTCGAGTCTGCAGCATCTGCTCAATAACACACACACACACACACACACACAGCGGTAGCAGACACACACTTCTCTGAAACAGGAGGACACTTGCGAAAGAAACGACGTGAGTCGTACGAATGATGTTGGCAAGCCTTTGACAGATGACTGCGTCCTCAGAGCAGACCGCACAGGAAACGGGACACACTGGAACACGCTGGGCTTCGATGGCTGGCAGCAGGAACATCAGCAAAACACCTGGACACAAATTCAGAAATCTGCTTTGTTTTCAGCAGAACTTCACGACCTGTTGCTGTGAATACAGTCACCGAGCAAACCGAGTTCTCACAGGTCATGGTGTGCTACAGAAGATGCGACATGATGATGAGGCAGCATCTCTTCCACGTGGCTGTCACCCGATGCAGCTTGGTTATTGTCGCCATCGTGTTTAATCTGAAAGCACATCATGAGAACCCGAAAATGACGTCTTTGCACAAGTAAGAGAGCAGAATATCTTGAAAATAAACCCAATGACGAAAGCGGATTAAAACCAACAAAGTATTTGCTTAAACTTTGGAAGATGATGTAGCCTTAAGTTTTGTGTGTGACACTGCAGTTGTGCATGCATTTCTAACTAAGATTTGAATATTCAAATCCAGCATTTAAACATCCAAGCAGGAGCGCATGGTCTGAGAAGGTTTCTGTTTTGTTGCTAGGCAGACAAACAAGATGCTGAGTGATGGTTGACGGCCAAACACTGAGGCAGCGTGAGGCCTATCGGGTTTCTGCCATCGGGCTGTATTTCCCTCGAGCCGTCTGTCATGAAACAAGTTTGTGTTAGGCTGGAGTACAGACTCTTACCGGAATCGGCCATCAGAACAACCACAGGAAAAAAAAAAAGATGGCTTTCTTTATGGCAGAGCAACATCTTTGCACCACAAGAAATGTATTTGATCCTCAGATAAAAACCTGAACAGCTTTACTGACTCAGAGTCAGTCAGAGGTTAGCAGATTCACTGTTTGGCATAGATTTCATAGTGAATGGAATGAGTATAAAACAGATTATTTAATATACTTTTTGTTTTGTTAATGTTTTGAATTTTAAATTAACAAAAAAAATTTTCTCATCCACACATTTTTAAAAGCATACATTCAGTCTCCAATATGGACATAAGCCCATTTAATATTAAATATTATTGAGCAAGTTGAAAATCATGGCATCATTTTGACTAAAATATGATCGGTCTTCATTCAGATTGGTTGGTTTTTGGTCAAAATTTAACTTTTAAGCAAAATTCATACATTTTGAACAAAAAAGAAAATCTAGCAACCACCAAGGATCACATTGATCAAAAACCGAGAACATGACCATGAACAGCGATGAAGTTTCACCTCAACATACACTGAGAAAAAAACACACACTTCAAAACTCAGTATGTTGGTGTGTCCAGGTGAAATGCTTTCTGAATTTAATGCTTTATGACCAGAGGAAACAAAAATTGAGCAATTTCACCAAAATTAGGAACAGGAACATCATGATGTCCAGCTGCCAAACATGGTGTTAGCTTTGATGCCTGTGGTACAAGTGGAATCATAAAGATTGCATTTGACCAAATCCTCAAACTTCACATGAACTTATACATGCAGATGTTTACAACTTGAACACAGTTGGATGTTCCAGATCAAAATCACAAAAGGAGCTTCTAAATGGTTAAAAACTTGTAGTCTATTTATTTTCATTTTCTAGAAGCACTGATGACAGCAGCATGTTGGAGTAGCTCTGCTGCGTCAGTTCTGATTTGTTCTTTTTTCTTAATTTTATTTATTTTTTCTTCTTGGTTGAGGCATTGCAGGTTTGAATAATTATTCCCTCTTTTGTTTTGAATGCTGTGCAACTGGAAGAACCTTTTACAATCACCTTCCCCCCCCCCTTTCAGACAGTAGTTGTAATGCATAACAGTGTGGGAACATTTGCACTGTTTTTACAACCTGGGAGCAGCTGACTACAACCTCGAAGCTCAAATATTACCTGAGATACCTGAGGAGTAAACAAGGAGGCTTCATGGACTGAAGAGCAGAGAGAGAAAGAGAAAATGTAAAGCATGTCTTCCGTCAAACACAATGCTTAAGGGACACATCCCCGACTCCAAAGTCTCTTTGCCCGACTTTCTGATCGTACAGCCAAGCAGGGACTTAAAGAGGAGCAGCCAAAGCAAACGACGTGGATCAGCAGTGCTTGCCTGCAACAGATAGTGTCAATAAAGACATGTAACGGTGAGATATCATCTCTGGTGCCTGGATTTTGTGCTGTTATGACAAAAAGACAGCAACAGTCTTCAGTCAGAGGCCTATTTAACGTTGACCCGAGACTGACTGCTACCTAGCGTTACCTCCTATCCTTAACAACTTATTTAAAGGTGCTTGGATGACATGAGTCATGACATCTAATTTCCCTTTAAGGACAAATGAAGAGGTTTTGAATCGAAGCTGAACTAAAGTGAATCAGATTTAATTGAATTTTAATTAAACAAAATATTTGTGATGGTTGACGTTTACATCGACCCCGTGTTCGCATCTTCTTTATTTTTTATCTGGAAGACTAGAGAAACATTTTCAAATGTGTTTATCCAGATTCCTGCAAAAAGAGTCATCATAGGAACATGCAAAATCAAGTTAGAAAATAGTTCAAGTTTTACCTCAGTTTACTGAAAGAATAAATGGCCCCATCATATTATTATTCTCATCTGCTGCCCATTTCTGTCAAGGAAGTGTAAACAAACAATTAGGTGATTAAACTGAAAAGCGGACTGGGCCCACATCTGCATGTCAGCACCTCAGCTGCACATGTAGAGGAAATACCAAAGAAACTCAGAAAACTGTTTACGAGCTCTATAATTTTCTAATATGGTGGGTGGAGGGAAGAAACTGTTGTTAATTATGTCTAATTGGTAAAAATAGGTCCAAAATATATTTACGTGCATCAGATGGGGGTCATAAAAAGCACTCTGTAATGCAAAGCTCTGACCATGATGTGCACATGTAGGATTACTGTATAAGGAGCTGTGAAAATGATAAATACCACATGTTGAGGGGACACGTTGAAGATTTAGCTGGGAATGAGCAAAAACACAGGCTGACAGGATGACGCCTGGTCTCAGCATGATGATGATCCAGAGCATGCTGCCAAAACATGACAAGAGTTTCAAAAAGGGAAACAAGAGAAAATCATACATCGGGCGATTATGTTCCAGATTTTTCTCGCAACGTTCGTGACGCATTTATTTATTAAAAGAACGTTATAGTTATCATCTTTTTTGGCCTCTGCACACAACCCCATTTTTTTCTTCTTTTAAAGTTAAGCCCGAATTTCTACAGACCCCTTCCAGCAGCAGGTTGTAGAGTAATCGTTTATTTGACTAATGTGTTTGAAGCAAACCTCGGTCAAAGTTTCTGAGCCAGAGTCCGAACCTGAATCTGCTCGAACCTGTGGAAGGAGTTAAAAGATTCGGGTGACGTCCAGGAGGCCTTCCAGCTTCAAATGACTAGAGCTCATCTTCAAAGTTGAAATCTTTAAAAAAAACTGTGAAAATGTGCAAAATGCTGGTCAGCAATTGCAAGAAGAGTTTGCTTGCTGTAGTGGGCCTAAAGATTTTCCCATTGGTTATTGAGAAAGGAGTAATTATGAAAGGAACTTTTATTTTATTTCATTTTATAAAATGTTAATAAACCCAGGATCTATTTTCTTTCAGAATGTATGGATCTTTTCATATTGTTTTATCTTATCTTTTACTATCAGAAACAAACTTCTTAGTTTGAATGAAAGTAATCTTCAGAAATGTGCTAAGGATATGAATAATTTGGGGTTTAGTTGTATGCAAATATGTGGTTGGATTTGTATTTGTGGGCAATCTACGGCCGGTTTGGGCTGAGCTCGGTGGCTGTTCTGCAGCTTTGCCACTTTTTAAAAATGTTATTTTATTTTTGTCATTTCCTGTAATGTAGACCTTTGTATGCGTCTCTCAGTCTTGTGGGTTTTTGGGGCATCTAAAAATCAACTTCCTGTCTTCATGTTGCCTGAAAGCACTTCAAAAGCTCACAGGAGGCAGAATTGTCTGTTTTTGTTCTTTTTGTCTTCTTTTCTTTTTCAGCAAATCTCAAACAGGAAGTGAATTCACATTTGAAATCAGATTGAAAAATTACTGGTCTTTGGTGACCTAGATGACATATCTCAGCCAAGAAGTATTTTATTTCCTATCTTTCATCAAATAAAAACAAATTTTATTTAGCTGATTAGTTATTTTCCACTTTACAAACAAGAATTAAAATTTCCAACAATAAGACAAGTTCTGGAACCTCCTCAGTTAATAATCTTTACGTTTATGTCATGTTTATTAGAAGCAAATGCAACGTTCAGGTTTTGCTCACAGCAGGCTTTCTGAAAGCCTGAAAACAGTTTTTGTTGATTAGGTTTAGTTTAGCGACAAGTTGTCAGATTTAAAGAGACACAGACATGATCTCAGTGACAACATTAACAATTCAGCCAAAAAACATGAAACATTTCAGTTTTTTAACTAAGAAGAACACTATATCTAAAAAAAAAAAAAGCTCAAGCGGTTTCTGCTCTTATATACGACATATAAATATAAAAAAATAGGGGGAGAGGGGTTTGTGTGTGTGTGTGAGCCATCTACTCCATTACTAAAGCCAATAAAGATTAGTGTTTGGGTTATTTTTGCAGATCCTTACCTTTTTAATCAAAACCCAAAGATTCCCTCCCTGCTGATGACCGCTCGCCGTGCCGCGTTCCCATCCTGCTCCACGACAGCTGAATTAAAACTCCTAACCATGTTCGGTGTGTTGATCTTGGGTTACCTGGTCACTGTCTGAGCATGCTCAGTAGAGCTTCGTGTCACCTGAGAAACACAGGTGTCCTGTCTGACTCAGTCTTGAACGTTGCACCGAATGCTGACTTGTATTTGAGCGTCAGTCGTGTGTGACAAGTTCAGAACAAATCTGCAGAAAGCCTGTTTGTCTTATTAGTCTAATTTATCATTAACTTGTTAGTTACAGTGTATAAAACGGCTTTCAACCGAGATAAAATAGCTTGAATAATCAAAGTCTCAATCAAATGTAATTTAAGTTGAAATAAAAATGGACAGTGTCTTGTAGGTGTTCAAACTTCTTGATTTTTTTTTACGTTTTGGCAGGTTGCAATCACATACAGTCACATTCAATAAAGTAGAAGACGAATTTTGATGAGGCTTGTTTGTTATATTGACCATTAAGCCTGTATTAAACACACATTTCCATTTTAAAACTGTTTTTTTTCTACTAGTCTGATGTAGTTGTATTGTCTCTAGTTGCGAACGGTTATAATCCTAATTAACCAAATTAACTCCAATATCGACCCCTCACTCAATGTCCAACATGTTACATCGTCAGAACAATTTTCCCAGATGCCCCGGGGCACTCGATGATGTCATGGTGAGCCTGGGCAGCCTTCTCCAGCGGGTACTGGGGGCCGACGACCGGCCGCAGCCAGCCGGCCTCCATCCCCGCAAACAGCAGCGCTGCACACTCCCTCTTCTCCTCCTGACGGCGGACAGAGGAAGCATTACTGATCTGAGCACACAGTGTTGTTAAGAGAAGTGCAGCCTGTTAGATGCGGCCACAGCGGGTGGGAGCTTTTAGTTAAGGACGTTGTTGTGTACCGGTGTGGAGGAGAAAAGGGCCACTCCTATGATGCTGCTCTCTTTGGCCATGGTGTCTCTGGGGTTGATCTCTATGGAGCCTCTCGAACCGACAACCTCCAGGAGAGAGAAAGAGCAGAGCCACTCTCACTCTCACACACAAAGTAAAGTTGGCCACATTTAGAGCAATCGGAGAATGACCTTTTTTTTTTTTTTAACACCGACGAAGAAGACTGACGTCGTACAGACCGTGACTCGTCCTCCGTACGCCAGCAGCTGGAGGTCTTTGCCGAGGTTGACGTTGGAAAGCATCTCCACTATCACATCCACGCCTCGACCGTCTGTGGCCTCCTGGAGCGCAAAACACCCAATCCAATGTTTCTGTTACACTTGTAGTGCAGGAAAGATGAAAAATAAGTATTTGACCCTTCAAACACTTTTTTTTTTATTATTTTTTGCCACACTTAGGTGGTTCAGATCATCAAACTAATTTTTATATCTGGAAAAAACAACCTGAGCAAATAAAAATGTTCAAGTTATTATTTAATTTCTTAAGACGAAAAAAAAATACAAACCAACTTCGCTCTGTATGAAAATATTATTTATCTTTTTATTAAATTATGAATTAACTTTAATTAAACACTTGTTTGATTCATTTTATTGGCCCACTTATTGCCTGACCTGTAAAAATGACAATATCACTTAACAAGAAGTAAATGATAATTAATAAAAAAAACATGTAAGAACATTAAGGACCACTACCCACTAATGCATGGAAGAGTGGAGAACCTTTGCCTGACCAGAATTAATCGACAACCCATCGCTAGCTCACCCAGGTCACAAATATGTTCCTGCTTGTTTAATAAATTTCACAGTAAAACTATTTGTGATACAATTAAGTGATTGAAAAGTCTCTATGAGTAACGTTTGAATGATTGACGATCAAGAAGCACACGGAGGGAAAAAACGGCCTTAAATGAGCGAGAACCCCAGACGACTAAAAAGAAATGTTGCATTTTGACTCTGTGGAAGATTTAGATTTAGATGCTGCGGCATAACCTTCAGCAAAATCTTCACATTGAAAAACCGTCCATCGGGCCTCAATGAGCAGGACACGGAGCAGCGGGACACGATGTCTCCGCAGCTGTCTCTTGTGAAACTACAACATTCAATGATCTGAAAAATCGGAGTGAGGACAAAACAAGCAAAACCAGAAGAGACAAGGAAGTAGTTCCTGTCGGCGTTGCTTCATGTCGGTACCATGATTCTGTCTGTGTATCCCTTCTCTCGATGATTAAAGGCACAGTGCGCGCCGTTGCCGAGGGCCAACTTCATCCCTTCTGCTGTCCCCGCCGTCCCCAGCACCCTGAGGCCCAGAGCGCGGGACAGCTGGCACGCTGCCACACCCACCTGTTGGATGCATTAGAAACATTATTATAGTGTCGCATTACAACCTGCATGGCAACAGCAAAAATAGAAACACGCAAACACGTTTGTTTCCGTGGTCATGCTTCGTGATATGCTGACTTAAAGTTAACAATAGGAACAAACAGCTGAAGTCAGCAGATTATGGGCACAAAAGCTAAAAGTAAGTTTTGCTTTGCTTCTTTTTAATTGATCACAAAAGTAAATAAATAAACACATCAGGAAGACGGTTTCTTTTTCTTGAAAGCTTGGAAGGAAATACAGCTGGCTAATATAAGGGCAAGTAATATTTATTCCACTTCTCAAACGAAGAAAACCCCCCCAAAACCTACAGTGTGGCCCGGGTCCATTTGGACTGACTTTGTGCGATCCCCGACCACAACTCAAAAAGGATTCATGCGGCACAGGCAACTGACCCAGATGCAGACAAATTTCTTTTAGATTTTGTCGTAATCCTTCCTGACAATTAAAAATTTAAAAATGGAAATTGTTACATGGTACAAAGCAAATTACTGATCTGATAATAGTTATACTTTTTTGCTTCGTTTTTCACCGTATGAACAACTTTTGCAACATGATGTGATGCTTCTTAGTTCAGAATCTGAGTTGTCTTTCTGTCTGTCTCAGGCATTCTTGGACCTTCTTGAGCTCTGTCACAGAACCAAACAGCCCTCACTGACAGCCGCAGTTGCATTCACACCGAAAACCTGGAGCTGCTCTCACCCCTCCACTGGCTCCGTGGATGAGGACCGTCTCTCCAGCTTTGGCGTGAGCTCTGCAGCACACAACAAAACACCAAAAACTAAAGCTAACCTTCTCATCAAATCATCATGTTGTGCTGCAAAATGTTCCCAAGGTTGGATGAAACTACAAATGTGATATTATTTTTTCATGCAACTCTTATTACTGAATTAACTTCTATGACATTAGTTTTTATTGGTGCGGCTAACTAATTTTAGATCATTTTCTTTTTGGTTGTTGTAGTAAATCAAATTAGGAACAGGATGTATGTGTGATTGAATTGTGGTTTATCTGTTGTGCATTGGTGCTCTTATCTAATTAAACTGAATTGAAAAGATGTTGAAAGTTTCTGCAGGTGGACGTTTCAGAATGATGCTGCAAAGATACTTTCCACCAGAGGGAAGTGTTACTCCATGTGCAGAAACAGCTGTACCAGTCTGTTTGCCAAACTCAGTTTTTCTGGCTTCTTTTTCAGACGGCTGTAGCCCGAAATCTCACTTTCTTTCTTTTTTAAAGTTATGATCTGAATTATTCTTTTTTTGCAACATTATGTAAAGAACAAATGGTTCTGCAAAAACAGTTCCACAGAACATAGCCAAATGAGCCCAAAGAGACAAGTATTAAAGATGCTTTCATAATCCATGTTTTCCACAGTTTTCTGGAAAGTCTTTCATAGTTTCTGTCCCCCTGTATGATGGTTTATAACTGTACCATGTGCAGACCTTTGGTTTAAACTCTGAGTAATTCCTCTCCTGTGACGGTCTTACTTGTGAACTAGGGCTCTGTAGGCGGTGAAATAAGGAATGCCTATGGCTGCTCCCTGTGTGAACTCCAGCGCATCAGGCAGCTTGTGGACACAGTCGTCCGCTGCTACAGCATACTCCGCGTAACCTCCGGACTGAGCGGCGGTGGTGAAGACGCGATCGCCTGCCTGGAAAACACAATCGCGTGATGTGTGTGGACCATCTCTGGGGCCGATTTGGTAAAGGTCTAACAGATGACCGCTGTCAGCGAAGAAACAGGATATGTTTAAGGGTGTAAAATGATCTATTAATGTAAAGTGCTAACTTTTTTTTTTCCATCTAGAAAACAAATCATTGACACGTTTAGTGTAAAACAAGGCTAACGCTGTTGTTAAATATTTTTTCCCAGAGAAAATGTAAGAAAAGATTAGGGTTTCTAAGAAAGAACAGGCTGTATAGCAGGATATCCTACATTTTCCATGACTTTAATTGTGTGTGCTGTGAGGAGTGTGTGTTTTACTGTGACCCACCTTTACTGCAGTGACTCCCTCTCCGACTGCGTCCACCACCCCGGCTACATCTGAGCCCGGTGTGTACGGCAGAGTGGGCTTCCGGGCGTGAGACCCGGATCGGATGTACGTTTCCACGGGGTTCACTCCACAGGCACGGACACGGATCAGTACCTGCATCACAAAGATCCTAAATAAGTTGGAATTAATACAAGTTTTTGTTTCCCGCCCCCCGCCCAAATCTATTACACACATTTTTCTTTAATGTTAAAGTCTAGATGTATTTAAAGTTATTTGTATTCAACCAAGAAGTTTCTGATAGAAAATGAGAGAGGCTTCTATAAAAAGAAAAAGCAACTGCAAATTGATTGTGGAAACAAACATGTGTTTGTCTAATTACAATTGATTTGAAGAAATGACAAAAATGATTCACACTTTCCCCTTATAATCAATGAAAAAATCTTTATTGGCATTGCGTCAGTCAAACCCTCCTTATGATTACTGACCAGCTTCCAGCATCTTTCTACTGATGATTCATGGTTTGGATGAGCTCTGAATATCTGATGGGGGAGGGTCTCCTTGCCATGACCCTAATCTTTAGCTCCTCCACAAATTCAGATTCATAGTAAAAGACTGTAACCTTTAATCTGCCGGGGGTGTGAATGAATATGAAACTTAATTGTGTGTTTTCACAAAGATCGGGATAATAAATTATGATTTGAGCAAAGTCATGATGGGAAATTTGTCAGATTATCCAAACTATTGCCAAGAAAATCTAAACAAGCATCGTGAAATGTAGTATGATAGCTTGCCTGATTTTGAAATATTGGCATCATCCCACTTTTCTTCGGGATGCAAACAAGTGGACGATGACAATTTTGTTTCAGTTTTGCACTTTGACCCCATCCTCCAAGAGACGTGAACCTAGTTACGTTTATTACTTATCAATCATT